TCGTAGTAGGTCAAGTACATACTTTCTCTGTGAAATGCTTGGACCTTGCAACTTCAATCCCTAAGAAGTATTTGAACTCACCAAGATCTTTGATCTCAAATTCTTGCTACAATGATTTTTTGAGATCATCAATCTCCTCTAGATCATTTCCTGTCACCACTATATCATCCACATACACAATCAGAATTGACACCAAAGCATCTTTCCTCTTCACAAAGAGGGTGTGATCAGACTGTGTCTGTGTGTATCCAAAATGGATGAGTGCCCCTCTGAACCTATCAAACCAAGCCCTAGGTGACTGTTTCAGTCCATACAGAGATTTTATGAGTTTGCACACCTTTCCTTTATCAACATTTTCATAAAAGCCTACTGGAATGTCCATATATACCTCTTCCTGTAAGTCACCATTGAGGAAAGCATTTTTGACATCAAGCTGGAACAAGGGCCATGAATAAGTGGYTGCTAGAGATAAAAGAATACGAACTGAACTCATCTTAGCTACTGGTGCAAAGGTTTCCAGATAATCAACACCATAGGTCTGAGTATACCCTTTTGCTACCAACCTTGCCTTGTACCTCTCTATCTTGCCATCGGCCTTATACTTCACAGTGAATACCCATCGACATCCGATTCTCTCCTTGTCTAGGAGAAGATCAACTATTTCCCAAGTTTGGTTTTTGACCAAAGCATCAATTTCATCTTGCATGGCTGTTTTCCACTCAGGTTTGGAGAGAGCCTCAGTAACATTCCTGGGTATAGACACAGAATCTAGGGAAGAAAGAAAAGCACAATAGGAGGGTGATAAGGCACTGTAGGAAAGATGGTGTGAAATGCAGTGGGCTGTACACTTTCTCTTCCCCTTACGAAGTGCAATGGGAAGATCAAGGTCAGTGGGATCAGCTGCAACAGTGGTGTTAGGGACAGAAACATTATCATCAGAAAACATAACAGGCTCAAGAGGAATACCTGGAACTGTATATGCCGAATCTGGAGTTTCAGAAGGATTGACAGAGAGTGGTGTGGGTCGAAGATGTGTGGAGTCAACCATCATCTGCCGGCGCTGATATTGCTGTGAGGCTGCCCGTAGTGGCTCAGGTAATGAAACTAGAGGTGCAGGTGTTGGCTGAACTGATGGTGCAGGTGGTGGCTGAACCGATGGAGGCACCACAGAAACAGGAAGAGGAACAGATTGTGAGTTCTCCTCCCCAAAACTCTCCCCCTGAGGAGAACCACTCGAGAAGAAGAATGTGGATTCAAAAAAGGTAACATCCATTGTGACAAATCTGCTCATCGACACTGGGTCGTAATAGCAATACCCTTTTTGGTTCTGAGCATACCCAAGAAAATCACATTTCTTGGCCTTAGGATCAAATTTCTTGCGATGAGGGCCAAGAATGTGAACAAAAGAAACACARCCAAAAACCCTCAGAGGTATATGAAATATCTCTCTATCTGGAAAAAGGAGGC